GCCTGTACGGATGCTGCTAGCGCTATGAAGAATGCTGTATCGAGAACGGGTCTCCGCTCCCAAATGTGTTTGGTGCACGGCTGGCATCGCCCCGATCGCCCGATTCCCGATCGCCCGATTCCCGATCGCCCGATTCCCGATCGCCCGATTCCCGATCGCCCGATTCCCGATCGCCCGATTCCCGATCGCCCGATTCCCGATCGCCCGATTCCCGATCGCCCGATTCCCGATCGCCCGATTCCCGATCGCCCGATTCCCGATAGCTCCGATTATGTGATTGATTGCTTTGCTTCGAATCCAGAAGCCTTCTGCCCGTCTTCTCCGCGAAAATATAGTCGAGTGTGCAATGACACTTCAAAAACGGCATCGACACCAACAGGAAAGAAGGCGTGATTCGCGCGTTCGAATAAGGGCCAACTGGTCTCGCGAGCTGGTCTCGCGTATTTCAAACTACTCGGTGGGAATTCGTGGAAAATATCTGGAAAATCTCGCGTAAGCTCAGTATCGGAAGCCGGATCCCGATTCTCTTCGTCCTCGCTACGGTTACCCTTCATTGGTTCGCGAGAGTAAATTCCGTTCGTGTCGGACACCGAGCGCAGTAATCCATCCTGAAGGCGACTTGTCTCACGTCAGAACATCTTCTCCGATCATTCAAGACTGATCTGGCAAGAATCATGGCCGTCGAGGAAGTGAAATCCGAGAAAGGGAAGACCCTATTCCATGTGGATAAGTTCCTCTACGAAGTCGAAAGAAAGAAAGATGAAACCGATGCGTTCGGATGCGTCGAGAATCTTGCAATGCGAGGATGATACTCCTTAGGGTTCCAGAACTTATCATCAAGCAGAAATCAGGCGAGCATAATCACTTACCGGAACACTTCGTCTTACGATGACCCTGGAGTGAAGCGATTCATCAAATCTTGCGCAGCACTGAGCCTGGTCCCTCTTAAGAAAAATCGACGGAGAATGGTCAGAAGTCAACGCCGAAGCTCCTTCGTCGTCGTCCGATCATCCC